AAGAAGAAGAAGAAGAAGAAGAAGAAGAAGAAGAAGAAGAAGAAGAAGAAGAATGACGAAAAAATTTAAACAATCAGGCAAACATACAGAGAGGCAGCAATCAAGCATTGTCAATAGAATCAGCATTTATTGTTACCGACAATTTGTTTATCATTCTAATAATCAGCTTTAATACCAAACTTGCAACACCCGCACCTCATTAAGACAACCACCGGGTAAATTCTTATCTTTTGTAACTAGCCCTCAAGGTGTTATGGTCTATTACATGTTAGTGTCGTTCTAATTTTTGCAGTTGTTGCCCACCATCGCTGACAAACAACAACGACTGCGGCGACAACAATAACAACGCATAGAACGAACCGGTATCATCATCACCACCACAACTACCCCAACCTCGCCGCTACAACAACACGAACCATCACCACTACGCTTCCGCTACACCACCACCATCACTACCACCACCATCACTACCACCACCATTACCACCACATCACCACATCACCATCACTACCACCACCGACAGCAGCGAGGAAGAAACATGAACGAATGTGCCCTCTTACCCGGTTTCTCCAAGCGATCGGTTTCAAAAACAGGATGAAACACTCCCTGGGATTTATGGAAGGCCTGCATAACAGCAGTAAAATACCACCTAGAGAGGTCAAGAAAGGGTCCAGGTTGTATTTGTTTGTTTGTTCTATGTTTTTTGTTGTTGTTTTTCTTTATTTTAATGTGATTGTTTTAACCCCTCTCATCGACACAGTTTAGATCATTTAGGGAGTGCGCGTTGATTCTGCTCGTAATCACCAACCCGGCCTGAGAGGGTTACAATGTCCGAAATACTGGATAAAATTTCTCCCCACAAGTTAATCGAACCCAGGTCTTCTGTGATGAAGCGCCTAACCGCCATACCATAGATGACGGTAGGTTGCCTTTATGGGAGGTTGAATTTCAGTTTCGAGACAAACATTCTCAGTTAATTAATGTAATGTGGCGTCGGTGGCCTAGTGGTTAGGCTCTCGGACTCGCAACCGTAAGGTCGTGGGTTCGAATCCTGTCAGGGTCCCGACGTTGTGTCCTTGGGAAAGGCACTTTACACGAGTTTTCCTCACTTCACCCAGGTGCGAATGGGTACCCAGCTATAGATAGTGAAAGATCTTGTCAGTTTGTTAGTGTTTGAGCGCTTAATCAGCTGCTTGCACTGTATGCTTCCCGGGAAGCTGAGGATGTTTCTGAGTGTTCTATGGTCTGCTGGGGTAATAATATAGTGTAAAGCGCATAGAGCTTGCTGTCTAGCGGGGATATACGCTATACAAATGCTATTTATTATTAATTAATTAATTATTGTTATTATTATTATTATTATTATTATTATTATGATGATGTTTTAAGGGGAGGCACGAGGCTTCAAAGCACCATGTGTTTTTAATGCCCTTTATTTTAGTATCGAGTAGATGCGTCTAAGTATAATATGTTCTTTAAAATGTGTATTGGTACAAAACAACTGCCTCAGTTATTTTGTGTTTTTCTCCTCCTTAAGAAAAAAAGATTCACTTCAGCTCCGAGCCTCGCCCAAGAGCAACTGACTCTGCCCCTGGCAGTGGCACCACTAAGAAAAAACGAATATTTTTCGTTTGCCGTGGTAGGCAAATGGTAACAAACAGGACAACGCTGATAGTTTAGCTTCAAATCCAATTTGGGCCGGATCACCAGCACGCAGTTATGTTTTGTAACGCTTTTCGCATTGAACGTGAAAGACTCGAGTTTAATTCCTGCACAGGAAGATAATATCTTAGAGTATCTCTGTGTTTTTGAAACCCTTGTGTGTGTGTGTGTGTGTGTGTGTGTGTGTGTGTATGTGTGTGTGTGTGTGTGTGTGTGTGTGTGTGTGTGTGTGTGTGTGTGTGTTACTCAGCGGTTGTATCGATTTTAAGGTAACTAGTCAAGCTGAAATTAATATTCTTAGAAGGTGGTAGGCAACTCACAACTTACTCATATTTCAGTATTGAACTTCCAACTGTTATATCAAGGTTTTAACCAACGGCACTACGCGATTTAGAAGTGTTACTGATAATATGTGCATAATGTAAACGTGGTGTGGAAATCTATTTTCACTTTCTCAACGTTTTTCTTTTGAATTAAAAGGTATTATTCCCTCATTTCAAGCAAGATTTTTACCTTAAATTTACCCCGTGTCTTTGTAAGTTAGTTTTTTTATAAAGAAAAATAACAATTGTTCACACATACAAAAGCGAACATTTAATTGGCCTGTTTGTAAATTGTGAAAAAAAGTAATAAATATTACGTTTTTTGTGTCTTTTCTCAGAACTGTGACATTCTAAGGGTTTTAAGATTTTAGTGCTCAAGATCTCAGATCCTCAAAATGAGAGATTTGGAAGGACATTTCTGTACTCTAATGCGTAATTAGTCGAAAAACCACCACGTGACTTGGTTGTTGTAAACCATATTTAAAAAACCCTCTATGTTGTTTACACATGTAATGTGTTTATACTTGTACCTTCGTAAAGGGCCAAATTTCATAAGCATTGAAATGACAACTTATGAGGGAACATAAAACCCCTTTAAAGCATAACAATTTTCCCTGAACTCAAAACGAAGGTACATTTCACTTCGCGTATTATGTACTAGATCCTCAAAGTCATACTCGTCAATATTATACTTTACATCTTCTTTACTTTTTCCTTCCTCTGATATCCTTATTATGATGTCTAGGGGAGGTGCAGGTTTCGGTCCTGTGCTAAGTGTGTGGCGTCTGTGGTGTTATGTTGTTCCACGACCTTTTTACCCCCATCTAGTCAGGTCCTTCTTGGCCTCCCTCTTGATTTGAAGCTGGATTCACGGATGTGATAAGCAGTCGCCGCTAGTTGTTTCTCAGGCATTCTGGTTAGATCTAGATGTCCGAACAACAATTTGACTCTTTGGCGCTCAAGGAGACTTGTTACTGGTGGTGTTCCTGCTTGTAGGCGTATGGTCTTGTTCCTTATGCGGTCTCTTCTAGTGACATTGATAGTTTTGTGGAATCACTTCATTTCGCATACATAGATTTTTCTTTCGTGAGCTTAGGGACAATGTTTGGTACTTGCATATTATATAATTAAATCTTAGCCAAGTCTGTTCACATCAGATTTTGAATGTATTCATGCCCCTCTTCCCTTAAAGCAAATTTGAGCAACTTCAAGTTATCACTCCCCTCCCTTCCCTCCTCCCCCAAATTCCTCACCCAACCAAAAGCCGAGGAAACACTCGGGTCGAACGTGTAGACCACTATTATATTAGTTTTCAATATCTCCGTGCTGTGTAGCTATACCCTATTAATTCGTGCACACACCCTGTTCGATTCCTACGGAAGAAGAGAGTTTATCTTACTTTTGCGACTTTTCTAACACAAAATGGTGAAGCTTTCTAGCTCCTTCTAAGCAAAACATATTGTCGTTTTCAATCAACAGGAACGCCAGGATATTCTTTCCTATCGTCATTATCTTACCTCCTTTTCTTTGTGTGTTACTTTCTTGTAAGAGCTTATATCTTCAGCACCTATGCCACGTAATTGTGTTGCAAGTGCCTTTAAGCTCTCACCAAACGAAACTGACACTAATTGTATTCTAATAAGTTTTATAATAACTATTTCTGATCTTGGCCTCTGAAAGAACCATTTCTATTTTTTTCTTTCATGTTTATTGATATCATTACATTATGCTCTCATAAATTCTCTAACTTTTCTACATTGCATACTAGTAACACTAACAATAACCATTGTGAATGTGCTTTTTAACAGACATGGGTGGTTGGCAGGCGCTCTGGTATGGTTTTCGCCTTCTTTCTTATCAAACATATTGTGTTGTTATTATCTCTCATCCTTCTTTTATTTGTACATTTATCCTCTACTAACATTTCTAATCGGCACTTATCTGATCTTATTGTGTTGTAAGGGCTGTAAAATTCCTACCAAAACTAAAAGTAACAATGTTTAATGAATGTGTAAGTACTGGAGTTGACATGGCCATATATTGAGAGGGGAAGGGTACATAAACATTGGCATCATTGAGTAAAGTGGAGGACAGAAGGAAAGATGAGCGAATTGGTGGATGAATGCATAAATAGAAGAATGGATGGATCGGGCTGGGAGTGGGGTTCTTTAATGGACTGTCGATGAAATGGTAAAACAATGTGGGTGAATATTGCAATGTTCGTGAAGTTTACTTGTGAAATCAGGATGACGAAGTATGTACCTCAGAAGGCCACCCCTGTTTTCCGCAAATTCCATCGTGTGTGTTCTTGGATCCCTCAATGTCACACGAAGTGCCTTATAAAGTAACTGCAAAAACAGAGCAGTTAAAAATAAGGACAGAATAGTTGCAACAGAAGCCGTAACAAATTCCATAGCCATCTTGTGTTGGTAGTTTTTGTCTATTCCGACGAACACGAAGTCACTATTGGGATCCCATATGTCACAATTTGTTCACTATCCGCCCTTGCCACAGAAACAAACGCACGGACCGGAATGAACTAAAGCTGTGTAATCCCTTCAATGGAGAAGAAGAGGTTACTTCTTGTTTACTTATACGTTGTCTACCCTGGTAGCTGGTAATCCGACAGGTAAGTGTAAAAATATGCAAATGTTTTCGGATGGCTTGCCTTCAGGGAGACACACACATGGGGCCACAAAAACGAACGCCCGTCATCCTGCAGCACACGAGACAAACGGCCTATCGGAGAGATAGATTTCCCTACAGGCTGTGACGATTTGCATAGCAATTACCATGTTGGTACTGTATTATATTGCTCCACAAGCTGGCTACGAGGTGTCTCCCAATATACAGGCCTTGGGGATAGAGAGGTGCACATATATATCATAGAGGTTGTTGAGACGTTATTTACTGTCTATGAACCTCCTCAAACTTTGACAGTTCATGCGGATTAGAGCTTCATTAATGTCTATGCTGGAATATCGTGTTCAATGCAGCTAAAGCTCAAGAAACCGTTCTGATTGTATCGCTACTTTTACGATCGCAAGACTTTCCATAATGTGCAATTATGAATACTGTCGAATTGTGTGCATTTTTTGTGGTCCACGAAACTCGGCGCGTAATGCATTTACTTGGTACTATCGAAAACCTATGTCAGTACAAAGTAATGAGATGATTCTTACTGTGACATATTATTATGCTTATTGGCAATGTAGATATTAATGAAAGAAACTAGTTAATGGGTTGCCTCTTGGCATTCTCAACTATAATGACCAATAGCAGCTATTATTAGGCTTACTTTGTACGTTATGATCACGAAAGAATAGGACCATGCGTTGTGTATTAATATCGTCATAGTCACACACACACACACACACACACACACACACTCTCTCTCTCTCTCTCTCTCTCTCTCTCTCTCTCTCTCTCTCTCTCTCTGTGTGTGTGTGTGTGTGTGTGGGTGTGTGTGTGTATGTGTATGTTGTGCAGCTGAGTGTGTGTGTATGTGTGTGCATGTTTGTGTGTGTGTAAGTTTGTACGTATGTGTGTGCGTGCGTGTGTGTGTATGAATGGGTGTGTGTATGAATGGGTGTGTGTGTGTGTGTGTGTGTGTGTGTGTGTGTGTGTGTGTACACATGTGTGTGTATGTGCGTGGGTCTGATGACCATCAGGTCATGTGCCAATAACTCTGAGCAAAGACTTGCCAAAATAATTACTTATTAGGGTCGGCTCGTAATTTGTAGAACTTACCAGCTGTATTTCCAGTGCGGTGGCGGAGCTGTTAGTGCGCTCGTCTCCGAAGCGGAAAGTCCGGTTTCGAGCCGCGGTTCAGACACGGATTATTTTCGCCCCCTCCTGCCCACCCAGCAGTAATGGGTACCTGAATTCGAGTTGGGGAAGTAAAGGCGGCGTGGAAAGGAACTGGCCACCCTACTACAATA